AGTCACCGCATAACACCTTATGCGACCGCATAAGTGTTATGCGATGATTTCAACTCAAGTTGCTCATCTACACAATACGGTGCACTTGTGCAATTGCATAACTTATATGCGGTCCGCAAAGTGCACGTCCTTGTCGCATTTCGACCATCAATATTTGCTGAACAAACTGCCCAGGTCTACGACCATTATGCAGTCCGCATAGTCAAAATGCGACTGCATATGTGTAGCAGACTTCCCATGGTGAATTTTCTTCCCTTTCACTTGCAATTTTACTCTGTGTTATGATCTTTTGAATCACCTGCTCTCTAACACACACTTTAAATTGCTCAATTAAATCTATCTAACAAAAATTAAAATTTAAATGACAAAAAGGATGTTACCACACATGGGTTGCCTCCCATGAAACGCTTGATTTAACGTCGTGGCACGACGAAGTTGGACTTTCTTTGGGTTCACTCTTTGGTCGGGCATGGACCATCTTTGAGAGCCAACTGTTCCACCAAGTGTTTTTCTCCATCTGTGCCTAAGTAGTGCTTGACTCGCTGGCCATTTACTTTGAAGGTCCGGAGCCCATCCTCCGATTCTAATTCCACAGCTCCAAAAGGGGATACATCTACCACCTTGAACGGACTGGACCACTTCGATTTGAGCTTTCCCGGAAATAATTTGAGCCTTGAGTTAAAGAGTAAAACCAAGTCACCCGACTTGAACTCCCTTTTCAAGATCTTTTTGTCATGGACAAACTTCATCCTTTCTTTGTACACAGCTACACTTTCATATGCATGGAAACGGAATTCCTCCATTTTATTGAGTTATGTTAACCTCAAATTTGCAGCTTCAACCCAGTCCAAGATCAACCCTTTTCAAGCCCACATGGCTTTGTGATCCAGTTTTACGGGTAGATGACAAGCCTTGCCGAAGACTAACCGATAAGGAGAAGTGCCAATAAGAGTTTTTTACGTCGTGCGGTCTGACCACAACGCGTCATCTAGCTTCCTTGACTAGTTGGTCCTGTTTGAATTAATAGTCTTTGCTAGAATATTCTTTATCTCTCGGTTGAAAACTTCAAATTGGCCACTTGATTGGGGATGATAAGGTGTGACCACCTTATGCTTGATGCCATATTTCTCTAGTAGCCCCGTGAAAGTCTTGTTATAGAAGTGAGACCCACCATCACTAAGAATGGCTCTAGGAGTGCCAAACCGTGTGAATATATTTTTCTTTAAGAATGTGGTCACACTTCTTGCATCATTGTTTGGTAAGGCAATTGCTTCAACCCATTTGGACACATAGTCCACAGCCATCAAGATATATTTTATACCACATGATCTTACAAAGGGGCCCATAAAATCAATTTCCCACACATCAAAGATCTCGATCTCCATCACAAAGTGCATTGACATTTCATGCCTCTTGGAGATTGATCCTTGTCTTTGACATTGGTCGCAAGCCTTGACCATTTGATTGGCATCATGATAAATCGACGACCAATAATAACCACATTCAAGCACCTTTGCCGCCGTTCGATTTCCCCTATGGTGACCTCCGACTGGTGAGTCATGGTATGCCTTTAGAATTGGCATAATCTCCTCTTCTGGAACACATCTTCTGATGATGTTATCAGCATAAATACGGAACAAGAATGGATCTTCCCAATAGTATTGCCAACAATCTCTCAAAAACTTCTTCTTCTGATAAGCTTTCAATCCATCCGGAATGAGTTCACTAACCAAGTAGTTATCAATATCGGCGTACCAAGGGGTAGATGAAGAAGACAATGCCAAGATGTGCTCATCAGGAAATGCATCATTGATATCAAGATTTTCCTTCGGTCGTCCATCCTCTTCAAGCCTAGATAGATGATCCGCCACTTGATTTTCGGTGCCCTTGTGATCCTTGACCTTAAAGTCAAATTCTTGCAATAGGAGGAGCCACCGAATTAACCTCGATTTGGCATCTTTCTTCGCCATGAGATAGCGAAGAGCGGCATGATCAGTATAGACCACAATTTTAGACCCCAACAAATAAGCTCGGAATTTTTCAAAGGCATATACAATTGCAAGAAGCTCTTGCTCTGCCACCGTATAGTTCAATTGCACACCGTTGAGCATTTTGTTTGCATAATAGATGGGATGGAGAACCCTGTTATGTCGTTGACCCAGAACTGCTCCAATGGCTACACCACTGGCGTCACACATGAGCTCGAATGGGAGAGACCAATCCGGTATGACAATAATGGGTGTTGTGGTGAGCTTCTCTTTTAGTTCCTCAAATGCCATAAGACACTTTTCATCAAACACAAACTTGACGTCTTTTTCAAGGAGCTTGCACATAGGATTTGCGATTTTGGAGAAGTCCTTGATAAAGCACCGATAGAATCCGGCATGCCTTAAGAAGCTTCGGACACCTTTTACCCATGTTGGTGGATGAAGCTTGAAGATGATTTCAATTTTTGCTCGATCAACCTCTATGCCATGTTTTGAAATTTTATGCCCCAAGATAATGCCTTCATCCATCATGAAGTGGCATTTCTCCCAGTTAAGCACAAGGTTGGTTTCCTCACATCTCTTGAGCACTTGTCTGAGATTGTCAAGACAATGCTCAAAAGAGTCACCTACCACCGAAAAGTCGTCCATGAAAACCTCTAGAAAATCCTCCACCATGTCTGAGAAGATGGACATTATGCATCTTTGAAAGGTAGCCGGAACGTTTCACAAACCAAATGACATCCGGCTAAAGGCAAAAGTTCCACAAGGGCAAGTGAATGTTGTCTTCTCTTGGTCCTCCAATGCTATGTTGATTTGGTTGTAACCGGAATACCCATCAAGAAAGCGATAGAATGACCTTCCCGCTAGCCGATCAAGCATTTGATCAATAAAAAGCATAGAGAAATGGTCTTTGCACGTAGCACTATTGAGCTTCTGATAGTCCATGCAAACTCTCCGCCCGGTGACCATCCATGTTGGGATAAGCTCATTCTTTTCATTGTGAATTACTATCATGCCTCCCTTCTTTGGTACACATTGCACCGAACTCACCCACGAACTAAACGCAATAGGGTAGACAACCCTGGCATCTAACCACTTGATGATTTCTTTCTTTACCACCTCTTTCATGGAAGGATTCAACCTTCGTTGATGCTTCACACTTGGTTTACTCTCATTCTCCAATTGGATCTTATGTTCGCAAATTCCGGCGGGAATCCCTCGGATGTTTGCAATTGTCCACCCAATAGCTTGCCTATGCTCCTTTAAGACATTCAAAAATTATTCTACCTGCACATCATTCAACAAAGAAGACACGATTACCGGTAGAGTATCATTTAAGAAATTTATACCTCAAGTGTGGTAAAAGTGGTTTGAGGTCTAGTTGCGGTGGCTCAATAATTGAAGGCTTTGCGGGAGGAGTGGCTCTATTCTCCAAGTCGAGAGAGAGCTTTTTCAGAGCATAAGTGTAGGACCCAAGCCCTTCCAATGCATTGACTGATTCTATGTACCCCTCCATACCTTCACCGTCGAAGTTTTCCAAAATAGCCGCCAACGCCTCACCGAGGCATTGTTCTTTCATCTTCATTTCAACCACATCTTCCACTTCATCAACAACATCGATCACCGAGATGCTTTCATATACATGGGGTAGTTTCATACCCTTGCTTGCTTGGAATGTAACCTCTTCATCATTCACACAGAATTTGATCTCATTCCATTCCGAATCCATTAGTACTCTTCTTGTGGCAAGGAATGGTCTCCCCAAGATGATAGAGATCTCTTTGTCAACTGCGCAATCAAGGATTACGAAATCGACGGGTAAATGAAACTTTCCCACTTTTACAAGTACATCATCGACAATTCCCACCCGTTTCTTTATGGAACGATCGGCCATTTGCAATCTCATACTTGTGGGCCTTGGCATACCTAACCCTACTTGCTTGTAAATGGCAAGAGGCATTAGGTTGATGCTAGCCCTATTATCACAAAGGGCTCTTGCAAAATCATGCATCCCAATAGTGCATGGAATAGTGAAAGCTCCCGGGTCTTCTTTCTTTTGAATGGTGGTTATTGCAATGATGGAACTAACCCGGTGAGTCATATTCACCACTTCATTTTTTGTGGTTCTCTTCTTGGTGATCAAGTCTTTCAAATATTTAGCAAAATCCGACATCTCTTGAAATGCTTCCACGAATGGAATGTTTAGCGATAACTGCTTGAGAATGTCATAGAACATTTCGAGTTTGCTATCATCAACCTTCCTAGCAAGTCTTTGAGGAAAAGGAGGAGGAGGTCTAGGAATAGGTGGTAGAGTTTTTGGTGTCTCTTTTACCTTTTCCTTTACCTCTTCTCGGTTTACTTCTTGAACTTTCAACTCTTCCGAAACCTTTTTAGTTTCAACAACAATTGGCTCTTCCACTTGTGCTTCAACCTCTTGTTCGGACTCTTCCACTTCAACCACTTGTTCACTCTCTCCTTATAGTACCTTCCCACTCCGTGTAGTAATTGCCATGATATGAGAAGTTGGACCACTCCCACTACCCTTTGGGTTCTTAATTGTGTCACTAGGAAGCATTCCCTTTTGCTTTGAATTTTGTTCCCTAGAGAGACCTCTCATTTGCATCTCCAATTTTTGAATGGATGCGATATGAGAACCAACAAGCTAGGTCATAGTCCTCATAGATGTGTCGGCCCTCTTTTGATTTTGCAATACCGGTTCAAGCATGCTTTCCAACTTGGAATCACTTGAGGAACCTTGATTTGAATATTGACCCTTTGGAGGAACATAAGGGTTTGAACTCCGATTTGAGAAGTTGTTATTGTTGTTATTCCAATTTCCTTGATTTGAGCTACCTTGATCATTTCGCCACTGTTGGTTGCCTTGCCTGTCACGCCCCAAACCTTGGGAGGCGTGGCTGGCACCCGGTGCCGCATTGGCCCGAGCGAACCACTATGTAACTCATTCATTCCTTTTGTAACTATCATGGGCCAACGTGGACACAACTCGTAATGTACAGAAATGGGCAAAGGTTATATCAATGAAACATCGTTCATAAAACATGAATACATATGGGCCGTCAAGACCTCTGATATACTGTACAACATACATAAACATCTATCTACAAAGCCTCTATGATTATTTGACAACAAATGAGACAGGGCACCGGCCTACCCATAAGTCAGCAACAAACTTCTGACACGATGACTCAAAACTCGGCTGCACTCCCAATATGGTGGAATCTTACCTATCCTTCGCTGAATGCCGATCTCGTCTATTATGAGGGCTCGCTAAACTGATTATTTATACATGGAGGCATGAATGCAGCGTCCCCAACAAAAAGGACGTCAATACGAATAATGTACTGAGTGTGTAAGGTACATAAATAAGTACATAACAGACATGGAGGAAATATAGGGTAAATGACTCAACCTGTAAGTTTGGATAACTTTGTAAATCATGAAATACTTATAGTGTCATGCATATACGTATGAATGTCATGTCGTCCATAGGTACATGTGTTCATAACATCATCAAGCCTCTGAGGACACCCCGTTATATCATCTCGGCCACTATGGTCAAATCATCAACGTATACCAGCTAATCTAGTGGTGGTGCGTATATAACGCCGTAACCTTTTCTCATATCCCATATACAAATATATACGCATATATAACGTCGTCTGAGTCATGGGTAAATGCACATGTAAATGAATGCAATGCATGAGAAGTACGTTAATAAAACTTCTCGGGACGTCATAAGACCATTATGCCTCTGATTAATATCATGAAATAAACTTTTTTCAACTTACGTATTTTTCTGAGACCCATGAACAGAATATAGAATAATATGACACATGGGTAATCAAGAACATGAGCATATCTAGTATTTCTATGAATAGAGTCATTTATGAAAATTTCGCATTTTTCCGTTTCATATATCGTATTGATCATGCCAAAAGAAAGAAGGATAGCCTTAACACAGCTGAGTTTTCCAAAAGCTTGTGCAGTGCCATTGAATTATGACGGCCCACTAAATCCTTACTTCAAGGAGATATTATCATTGCATAGCATGATCGGAGGGAGTCATTTAAAGACTAGTATCACTCCAGAGCAAAACTAACAGTGATACTGTTTAAACCTAGTAAAAAAAATGAAGTACATGCCAACCAAAAAACTCAATTTTTTTCTTTTACCATGTCCATATTAACTGGTCCTAGCCTTCTACTCTTTACTTTCCTCTTTTAGAGACTCATAATTGATCTTTTCTCAAGAAACTTTGCTGAATAGGTGGAGAAAAAGTAATAAGCTCAGAATTCTGGATTTCTTGCACAAATTTGACTTTGTGGACTGTCGTAAAATCCCACCCCAACTCAACNAAAAAAAAAAAGAGACAGAATTTACCTTCTTCTTGGGCAACTCTTGACTCACCCAAATTTAACAAGTAGTTCACTACAAGAATCCATGAAAGGACGCCTTTTCTTACAGTCAACGTATTTTTCTTCAAACTCCAAACATGTACATTCACTGTTGGACGTACAACATAGCTAGGTGTATAGTACTAATGTTTCGTAGATTTTGACAAAAAAAAGTACCGCTAGAATTTTGCACAAACTTTCATTTTTGCTAAACACAATACTAGTATGGATAGGAACTAAGATGGTAGAAGAATATAAAAGGGGCAGCAGCTACCATGTGTTGATTTGTACGTGCAGCTTGTACAAATAAGCCACGGGTTATATATAAGCCATGGACAGCGATGTGCTGGAACTATGTGGCAATTGTGGTGTCCCTACATCATCATTTTCTTCATCTAGTGGGAATTTGGAGCCTTATCATCTTCTTGCAATCCCCAATTAATCAATAATTACCCAATTATTCATATAATTAAGAATTATCTCAACTTACTTAAAATATTACTCAATTTTAATACATTTTATATAATTTACTATTATGGTCATGTGATACCATATAACATAAATACATACACTATTATTTTATTAAAATATTCATGTAAAATACATATATTTTCTCAACTTATAATTTTCCTAATCTCATATAAAGAGTAAAAATTTTGTACGCTTAATTCTTAAAATGGTAAAAAGATAACCTTCTTTTCTGGTGAAAAAATAATTTATATTAAAATAATAAACTTTATAATTAGTTTACTGCCATATTTTTCTATAACGTGTGTAGCTACTAAGCTAATAAAATTGTTGATATAATGGGCTAGGTACATTCCTAATACTCCAAATGGGACCGTGGCTGAGAGCAGCAACAATATAAGCATTTATTTTTTCCATCCTTCTTTATAATAAAGAATCAATTTATTCTTGATTAACAGAAAAAAAAAACGTAGTTCCTTTTTATTTTCGTGTTTTTTTTTTGTATATGTGAAATGCTAATTATCTAATAAAAATCATTCTTGATTAATGTAGCCCTAGAAGTCGGAGGAGTGAAGCAAAATTTGGGATCTACTAAAGAAAATCTTATTAATAAACTTTATATTATGTGTATAATCTATCATATTCAAAAGTAGTAATAATGGTAACTATCCAAAATTATACTTATAAAATTTTTGCTAAAGTACTCCACTTAAAAAAAAATACCACACTGACATACTATCTAATGATATTAAAGTTGTAAACTTATAGGGTCTCATAAAAATAATGTTTTAAACCCTCTATAATATCCTGATACACATAATTCCTTCGAACTCATATAGATTACTACGACTCATCCTAATATTAAAATACGTGATGTAACATTGCCCTTGCGGGTTAGGCCTCCATTGATTTTGTTGTCCTTGACCTTGGTATTGTTGCCTTTGATAGCCTCCTTGAGAGTTACTGACATAGTTGGCTTCCTCATAATCTTCACTTGAGGATGGTTGAACATCTTCCACCACATTTACCTTCTTCGTTTGGCTTTCAGTGAACATCTTTGTCAACATATTGACACTGGTGGCAAGCCCTGCAATTACTTGATCTCTTTCTTGATTCTCCTTAATCATGTTGGTCAAGGAGGGAGAACCATATGCAATTTCACCTATGGTGTCCTCTGAATGTCATGCTTGATTATGTTTTGCCATTTTGTCAAGGATTTATGTGATCCTTGCAAATGTCTTATCCATAAAAGATCCATCAGCTGCATTCTTGGCTATAGATTGGTTCATAGCATCTAAACCCATGTAGAATTTCTCCAACAAGATGGATTCCGGAAATCATGATTAGGCGACCTCACCAAATATTGCTTGAATCGTTTCCACGCCTCATGTAGATGCTCACTCGGTAGTTTCTTGAAAAAGAAAATTTTATCCCGGAGCTTAGATTTCTTGCTTTGCGGGAACCATTTAGCTAAGAATGCTCGGACAAGTTCAAGCCAAGAATGAATGGAATTTGGTGGCATATTTTGAAGTCATTTCCTTGCGTCCCCAGCTAGTGAATACTTGAACACTCTCAACATTAGGGCATCATCTGAGACGTTGTTCTGCTTGTGCATCGCACACACATCCAAGAAGTTTCTAAGATGTTGTGTCAGATCATCATCAGTGGAATTCCTAAAAAATCCCTCCGCTTTGAGCATTAGGATTAAATCATGTTCCACCTTGAAAGTAGCAGCACCAACAATCGGAGGTACAATCGCATTTGTATCCTCAATGTACTCATCTATGTCCGCAAAAGGATTTTCTTCCATTTCTTCCTCATATTCGGCTATGTCTTCCTATCAACACCAAGCAAAACAAGCAAAGTATGATGGAATAGAATAAGACGTAAAGTAAAGCACACACTAATTAGTAATTTCAAAATCATATTCCCCGTCAACGGCGCCAAAATTTAATACGCTCAAATTACACTTTAATTAAATAGTGCAAGACGATCGGTGTCAAATATAATAACCCAATAAGGTTGGGGTAGAATTCCACAGAGAATATGGTGTGAAAAGTTTACTTAAGTAGTGTGTAACTTGACTTAAGTCGTAATTCTTTTCGGTTAACGTAACAAGAGAATGATATAGTTGAGAATTAACGAGATACCTAATTGTGATATGAGAATGTAAATAATTTGATTAAAGAAACCAAGGTTGTGTCCCCGTCAATGGAATGTAATGCTATCGGTGTTAACATGATATATTTCTAATGGAAGGTCCTCTAGATATGCAAATGATGTCTAAATGACTACCCAATATTTTTCAATAGTTGGGTAGTATTTCCTCTTTATGATTTTTTTCAAATATAAAAGAGTTGCAATTAAGAGAAATCAATTTATGCCAAATAAAATCCACTTATTTCTAAGTGATTCTATTAAACAAGGTTTAAAGCCTTGAGTCTTTGATATTTACTTCTACCAAACCCTAACTCACTTTTCCAAGTAAAGAAAGAGTTTAATGGCACTTGTTAATGTTTGCAACCACCAACAATAAATGAAGAATGAGAAATAGATATATATCAACCAACCATTATATATATATATTCAATGCTAAACACCCATTAACATAACACTCATTTAGGGTCCACAACCTTAGTATTTAAAGCTAGCTACTCATGCTAAAATACAAAAAGATGAGAATATTAAATGCCGTAAAGCTTATAAATGCAAGATTCTTCACTCCTAAAGCTTCCAAAAGAGAGGAATATTCAAAGATTGGAATGTAGCTCAAAAACCAGATAAGATACCCCCACAAAACCCCAATAAATCTATTTATAGTGGGCTAAAACTCGGGACCAATTTCGGACAAAAATGCCCCTCCAGGTGAATTATGCGACCACATTTATGTCGCATAACAGACATGCGGTCTGCATTCTCGTCAAAACCATCGCATCTTTGAAACCCTAGTTCCCAGGTAGTCGTCGCATTTTGGTTGTGCGGTCCGCATTGTTGATTTGCGACCGCATAATTTCACCGCATTTCAGACTTCAGCAACTGATACAGGGGGTTTGCGATCCCTTATGCGGTCGCATAATGGACCGCATTTCTTGCACTTGAATTTGGCTAAACAGACTGTTGGACTTCGCGGTTCCTCTGAGCAATATGCGGTCCGCATGTTGGATTTGCAGTACGCATATTCACATCTGCGATCACATTTTGCCTTTTTCTTGCCCTTTTGCGACTTTTTGATTTCATTTCCATGTTCTTGGGTCCTTAAGCCTTATACACTGCAAAACATTAAAGTTATATAAGTATAAAAGATAATTACATTTAAAACGAGCTAAAATCTAAGCAATTGGTATTACATGTGCCAAAAATCTCCAGCACATCAAGTCCGGGTTTCGACATTCATTAGGAACAACTTATTTCCTTTTGGGAATTGGGTATGAAATTTGAAGAGTCGTCACCTAACGGATTAAGGTGCGTTAGGGCACCTAGAGCAATTGACTCATGTAACTAGTTTGCTTTATTAGAGATTAGGGTAAGGGCTCGAAATAACATTGAGGAAAATGTGTTAGGCCCTCCTTGCGTTCCACAATGGTGGGTCCCTGTCGAACTTAGTTATGTGAATTAGTCATTAATAGGTAAACAGTCTAAGCACCCATTTGCAAATAAGGGAATTTATACAGTCTAAGCACACATATATAATCAAGGAAGTTTAGATGGTCCAAGCACACATATGTAGATCTTATACAATCAAAGCACACATACTTAAGTTAAAGAAGTCTTGGACAGTCTAAGCATACGTACATAAATTAAGGAAGTTTGAACAGTCCGAGCATACATACATAAATTAAGGAAGTTTGAACAGTCCGAGCATACATACATAAATTAAGGAAGTTTGAACAGTCCGAGCATACATACATAAATTAAGGAAGGGAAGTCCTAAGTTGGTTACCCTATAGCATCAATCTGTACAATGCCCGATAATCCTCCTCAACTAGAGGGGCTACACGTGACATTAGCGCACAAGTTATCATATCCTTTTACTACCCATTACCCTCTCCTTAGTGGTTATATAGGCGAGTTTAATTAACGAACTCTAAGCGTGCTTTACCCGTCCCTTCCTTGTGGCCCTGGAGGTGCTTAGGACCTCTATACTTAGGCAGTTCTAGACAATCCTAAGGTATTTAAAAGGTAAAATCTAAGAGACAACAAAGAACATATAGGACTATCAAATAGAGAAGCAATTAAAGGGCTCATGTTTACCTCCACATGTAAACAAATAATTAGCACGTCTCAGACAGTTGATTTTACAGAATTTCAGAAGGCCTTAGAACTTGGTATCTACATGAGTATCACAGAATATGCAGCATTGTTGAAAAAACGAAGTGATATAACCTGATCAATTGCCTACTGATTTAGAATCTGTTAAACCTGGACAATTTACAAATAAGAAGAATATAACTTTACAATTTTTAGACCATTAATTACCTAAGGCTTTCCTAGGCGTAGGTCTATATGCAGTCATAATTCTGGGAACTAATTAAGACGGATTGAAGTTATTCAATCTATATGCATGCTAATCTAGGTGATTAATGTTACAAAAAGGCTGATTTCATGCATATTTGTACTAGAACATGATATATGTGTTGGGGCTATTTTTTTAAACCTCCTTATAGATAGTTATCCATTTAAACAACATAGATGCGCTCTGAAGCAAATGCAAACAGAGTCCTAAGGCAGGATTTCTAGATGGTCATTTTATCAAGCGTGATTACAACAGTAGTTTAATGATAGGATTTACAGGTGATAGCAACTTAT